CCTCCCTGGCCTCTTTCATTATCATTTTTTGCACCTTCTACTTTCTGGTTTGGTTTTATTTTGGGTGAACTAAAATGGAATCAAATGATGTAGGGTAGAAGGATTAAGTTGCCCTTTTTTTAATGGCATTGATTTAGAACATCCTTAGCATAGTATATATATGTATTTTTCATCTAAAAAATTATATTTGTTTTTTTTATAATAGATTAAAAAATATCATGATTTTACAAGGAAAAAAATAGACAAAGGTTGATAATGTAGGGATAAAATAGATATTTAGATAAGTTAATTAGAATAAAGAGAAAAATGTGTTTTTTTATTCAAAGCTAAGGGAGAGATTGATTTTAGAAACAAAGTTTAATAATGTAAATAATAATTTTAGAAACAATCGTATTTCCCTTTTTTAAAAATTTCCCTACTTCACATTCTTGGTTCATAGTCTAGGTATTTCCCTTCTTCTTTTTTTTTATAGTAAATCCAGTTCCGTCTATACTTTCATATGTGTGTGTATATATATTGATTGAGGATTTTAGTCCTTAAATTAATGTGTAATTGTAGTTTTGAACTCTATAATATTTTACTCAATATTTTAAATCTTCAATTTAATAGTATGGTTTTCATCCTTAAGAGTTTAATAAAAGTTAAAAATCTTACAAAACTACTATAAATTTAAAACGGAAAATAACAGTCACTGTTGCGATGACATATTAGTGTCGTTAATTTATCTTTTTCATTAACCAGATCTCAAAATAGTACTAAACCAGAGGTTTACATAATACTCCCTCTAACCATATTTATTTGTCCACTTTTTCTTTTATAGTTGTCTCTAATTACTTGTTCATTTTAACAAATCAAGAAAGGACAATTTTTTTTAACCTATTATACCCTCAATTAAATGATTAATTACTTTGAAAAATGTAAAACTTTTCATCCATTTCATAATTAATAGGGATAAAATGATAAACTCATTATGTCATTAATTGTTTTCTTAATAGGTGTGTCAATCCAAAAATGGACAAGTAATCCGGTGGCCGGAGCTGACACTCTGGCAGCCTTGGTGGCTTTCCACCAGTGGATTTGCGGGCAGTTTGCTTGCTACTAAATTGAAAAGCAAATTGATAGATTGTGAAATGCTTTGATTCGTCGTTCCATGTAATGGCTCACCTTAGGAATTGTCACCACTTTAGAAGAATATGTAGTCAATAAAAAAAATCCATGAATTTTCGTATGTATATAACTTCATGAATTATTGGGAATATGTGTGATCCATTTTGTTTGAGATTAAATTTAGTCAGTTCATTCAATACGACCTAGTAATGATGCTCAAAGTTTTTGGTGGGGTGGGGGGGGGGGACATCCCTCTTTTAGGAGTTTATGAGTCATGAAACAGAAATTCACGATTATCTTGATTTTTCTGCGTGTATTAGTTCATGAATTATCTAGAATGTGTGATCAATTCTATTTTATCTCAAATTTTGTGAGTCCATTCATGACGATCTAGTAAATGATAGTCATAGTTATTCATGGGCATACATTGTTTTGTTTTTTTGAAATTTATGGCTCACGAAATAGAAATTCATGATTATCTCGGCATTTCGTGTTATTAGTCTATAGACTTTCTGAAATATGTGTGACCAATATTGTTTGAGTTCAAATTTTGTGGGTTTATTCTTGACGATCTAGTAAATGATACTCAGAGTTTCTCAAGGACAAGTCATTTTTTTGAGTTTATGGGTCACAGACAAGAATACACAATTATTAATATGTATTAGTCCATAATTTTTTTAGAATATGTTTGGCCAGCTCTATTTGAGCTCAAACTTTATAGCTGTGACGATCTAGTAAGTGATACTCATAGTTTTTCAAAGGCAGATATTACTTCTTTTTTTAGAGTTTATGGGTCACGAAATAGGATTTTAGAATTATCTTGATTTTTCATGTGTATTATTAGTCCATTAATTTTCTGAAATATGTATGACCAACTCTGTTTAAGCTCCTGTTTTCTAGATCTATTCATAACGATCTAATAAATGATACTCATAATTTTTCAAGCACACGCATCACCTTTTTAAAAAATAAAATAAAATTATGTGTCGCAATATAGCAATTTAAAATTATCTCAACTTTTCATGTATAATCTATAAATTTATTCAAAATATGTGACCAACTCAATTTAAGCACAAACTATTTATATTTTTGAACAAGAAAGCCATTTAGTTATTGTTAAAGATGTTTTGGTATGTCACAACTATAATTTTTATTTTATTTTCACAACAAACTTATTATTTGAATTTTTTATATTTATATTACCTTAAAAGCAAGAACTCCTAACTTGAATGTTAAATTACTATAATATCGCTAACTTAGATTGTGACTTTTTCGATGAGTTGTGACTTTTCCGATTAGTTATGACTTTTTTCAAAGGATTATGATTTTTCGATGAGTTGTGACTTTTCCAAAGTGTGTTGAATTCTCGGAAAGGTCATCATCTTTTAGATAAGACACAAAAAATATTTGCTCATACTACCCTTTGTTGACTATAAATAGAGGGACTTTCTCTCATTTTCCAACCACAATTTTTTCTAATCTTCTACTCTTCTTCTTCTTGCATTTTAAAATTCCATGTGTAATTTATTGTCGTTTGAGTGAGTTTGAAGTTTAGCGGAATATGAGGTACCACTATTCTGATGAAGTAAGTCGTTCTATCCTAAGAGGGCATATTCCATAACCTCGAGTACTTGAGGAAAATAAGATAATTTTGATGATATAATAATTATTTTTTTGCTTAATATATAC